TTTCGGGGCTGGAGAGATGGCTCAGCGATTAAGAACAATGGTTGTTCTTGCAGAAGACCGGGGTTCATATCCCATCACCCACATGGCAACTACCAACTGTCCGTTACTCCAGTCCCAGGGGAATCCCACAGCCCCTTCTGACTTCTGTGGGCATTACACGACAGGGGTGCACTTACCTACATGCAGGCAATACATGCATACGCATAAAATAAACATAATAGGGGCTGAAGAGATGGCTCAGCGGTTAAGAACACTGACTGCTCTTGCAGAGGATCCGGGTTTGATTCCCAGCACCCACATGGTGGCTACAAACTATCCTTAATTTCAGTTACAGGGGAATCTGATGCCCTCTTCTGACCTCCACAGCATTGCACGACACAGGTGCACTCAAATACACAGAGGCAATACACTCATACACATAAAATAAAAACAATAAAATATTTTTAAAAAATAAATAAATAAAATGTAAAACAAAGATGTGTTTCTTTGAATGACACTATTAAGAAAATGAAAAGGGAGGCTGGAGGGATTGCTCAGTGGTTAAGAGCCCTTACTGCACTTGCAGAGGACCTGGGTTCAGTTCCCAGCACCCACATGGGCTAATACCCATCCTCAACTTCGGTTCCAGGGGATCCCATGCCTTTCTGTACCTCTGCAGGTACCAGGTACGCATAGGGTGCACTTCTATACACGCAGGCAAAACATTCATACACATAAACATAAAATTAAAATCCTTTTTAAAAAAGAAAATGAAGACTGACAGAAAACATTTGGAAAATGCATCTAATAAAGAACTGACATCTATAACCATAAGAATTATCTGCACATGAGTCCGTGCACGTGGAAGCCCCAGGGAGATGCTGAGTATCTTCTTTGATCACTCTCTGTCTATGCATTGAGACAGGGTCTCTCACTGAACCTGGAGGTCGTCATTTCTGCTAGTCTGGCTAGCCAGCTTGCTAGAGAGATCCAATCTCTGCCTCCCATACACTGGGATTACAGCAGGCCATCACAACTTTTAAGTGAGTTCTGAAAACCCAAACACTGATCCACACATTTGTGTAGCAAATGCTTTGTCCAAAAGCCACTTAACTAGCCTCTATATAAAGAACTTTAACAAACACTGATCCACACATTTGTGTAGCAAATGCTTTGCTCCAAAAGCCACTTAACTAGCCTCTATATAAAGAACTTTAACAAGTCAGTAATTAAGAACCCAAATATCCCAGTAAAGAATGAGCAAAAGACGTGAATACTTCATTCAAGAGAGAAAGAAACAGTCAGAGATTACAGAAATATGAATTAAAATCACAATGAGATATGACTTCAATGACTAAAATTAAAAAGATTGCTGGGCATGGTGACACACATCTTCAATCCCAGCACATCTTTAATCCCAGGAGGCAGAGGCAGGCAGATCTCTGTGAGTTCAAGGCCACTCTGGTCTGCATAGCAAGTTCTAGACCAGCCAGTGATATATAACTAGACCACGTCTCAAAAAAAACAATAAATAAATAAACACAATAAAAAAGTATTTGCAAAAATGTAGAACAAACAGAACTGTTATACATGCAGACAGGAAAGGAAAACTATTACACACACTTTGGAAAACCATTTAACAGTTTCTTAGGAATTCCAATACATGCTTACCAGAAAGCCCAGCAACTGTATTCCTGGGTATTTAGCCAAAAGAAATGACAGTATACAACAACACAAAGGCCTATATTTAATCATCTGTAACAGTTTTATTTGTTATGGTGGTGGTTACTCAACTCTACATACATCTGTCAAATTCACTGAACTACATACATATTGTATTGTACTGTAGTGTATTACACTGCATGTATTCTATTCTATTCTGTTCTGTTGCTGGAGATGGAACCCAGGGCCTCAAGCATGCTAGGCAAATGGTCTACCACTGAACTATACCCCAAGCCCATACACACTTTAAAAGAGTAAACTTTATTATGGACATATTATACCTCAATAAGCCTGTCTTAAAACAAAGCACATCAATTCTGAAGTCATCCCTCCCTGACTCTAAGTAGGCTAATCTAAATACTTCTTCTTTGTATTTTCTAAGCACTCTACTAAGGTGTCCATCAATCACCAGTTTTCAAAGTATAAAAATCTTATCCTCTACCTCTCTGGATCTATAACTCTAAGAAAAAAGTCTGGGAGAAAGCACAGGACTACTCAATGAACCACACGAGCTCTGGCTACTGTCCTAACCCATCTTATCTCACTTACTCTAGAAAGTTGGAAGTTCACTTTATCTGACTTGTAGTAGTGTGCTGTTACCTCTATTTCACAGACAAGTTTGGGACTTTCTACAATGGTATTAAGTTTCCAGTTGGCTTAAAAAAAAAATCTATTTTTTTCTTTTGCTCTCCACACCAGCACACTTCCTTCTTTAGCCAACTTTCTAAGAAGATTCTTGAATGTTGGCTCTGAAATTAGTGCAGATTAGACACAGAGGCACAGAAGGGTACTTCAAGAAAACCACCACCAAAATAAAGTATGAGTTAGAAAGCCTGGCCATCTTCACTGCAGAAAACTCCCCTACAAGCCCACATCCACAAAACAGGAAGCACCACCTTCCCAAAATACTTTCAGAAGAGAGACAAGCACTCACTGCAACAATCTGCCCATGGACAGCCAAACACAGGACATGTGGAGCTAAGCAGCTGTGTGCCTCTGGTTGACTGGAGACAAAAGATGAAGGCCCTAAGCCCAAAGTCATTATTTTATAAGCTTGAATTAAGCACAGCTCTAGGGCTGGAGGTGTAGCTCAGGGACAAAGGATGTGCTCCCACTGCATGAGGCTCTGGTTACCCCACATTTAAAAGAACAGCAATAATGGGCTGGAGAGATGGCTCAGCAGTTAAGAGCACTAGCTGTTCTTGCAGAGGACCTGGGTTCAGTTCACATGGCAGCTAATAGCTGTCTATAGCTCCAGTTCCAGGGGAATCCAATGCCTTCTTCTGGCCTCCATGGGCACCGCATATATGTGGTACATTTACATATACACAGGCAAAAGACTTACACACATAAAATTTTTTAAAAATTTTAAATGGCTACTACAGGATTGTTTTTCTTAAAAAGAAGATAGGAAAGACTAAAAATAAGATGTAACAGGGATTGGAGAGATGGCTCAGCAGTCAAAAGCACTGGCTGTTCTTGCAGAGGACCTGGTTTGGTTACCAGCATCCATATAGTGGCTGATAACCATTCATGATTCTAGTTCCATGGGATCTGACACCCTCTTCTGGCCTCCATAGACATTACACACACGTGGAGAACCTATAAGAGTTGAACTTATGGAAAGTAGAGAGAACTGTAGTTAACTAGGGCTAGGGCAGGGTGACAGGCAGATGCCGAGTCAAATAATATAAAGTTTCAGTTAGGAAATTCAAGATCTACAGTAGGCTAGGCATGTGGCTCACTGGTAGAGCACTTGCCTAGGACACATAAAGCCTTGGTTTGGTCTCAAGCATAAGAAAATAAAATAAGCAATAAATAAATGGTCAAATAAAAATTAAAGTATTGTAGGTACACTGAATGTGCTGCGTTTTTAACCTGAAACATCAGAATGTACATACCAAATAAATGATTATAAAACACCAAGGATGTTTATAAACACCTATGACTAACATCTTAGGGGAACTTTTAGCAGCAGTACCATAGGTATCACAAGATAGAAATGGCCTTCTCCAAGGTGGAACGGAGGGTTCCCAGGGACCACAGACATGCTACTGTGGCACAGCACGAAGAGAATTGTTTTTAAGTAGGCTGGATCTGAATCTAATCCCTAACGCCACCCTACTACATGATCTTAAATATTATACTAAACTCTCTGAAGCTCTAATTTTCCCAACAGGAAAATAAGGGTAAAAATATTAACCTTCACAAGGTTATTCTAAACATTAAGCCTAATAACCTATATGTGGAGGTGGAAAACAGATTTCATTTCATGTACAATGCTAATAGGCTGCATTCTGGAACCCTGTTAGAGAGATATGGAGCTACTTTTGAGCTCATCAGGAGAGTGCTACTATCAATGGGAAGCAGAGGAGGCGAGGACCAATACAAAGCCAGTCACTTGCCATCCTTGTTCTCAGGGATCAGTGGCTCATCTTACTCCTGAAATAACCCAACTCTACTGATCAAAAGGAGGTGTTTAATGGCGTACTCCTCATTTCAACTTGATTTTCACAATTGAGGGGAGACTACCCAACAAAATAAGACAGAAGCAGAATGAGTGGGGAAAGCATATCCTTTCTCTCTCTCTCGCTCTCTCTCTCTCTCACACACACACACACACACACACACACGCACGCTCGTACGCACACGCACGCATGCACGCACTCATGCACACACGCATGCACACACCTTAAACTAGAAGCTTATGATATGTCTGCCTAAGTTTTAGCAGTTAAAGGTCTTCTGCGTTCATTTTTGGTTTTTGAGACAAGCTCTCATTCTGCAGCCTAAGATGACCTGAAACTCACTATGTATACCCCAGACTAGCCTCCAACTTGCTGTAATCCTCCTCCTGCCTCAGCCTCCCAAGTGCTGGAATTACAGGCATGAATTACCACACCTAGCTTAGGGGTTGTTTTATTTTTCTAAACTCACACACAGCAATGTAAGTAACATTAGTAAACACTAATGAAAGTAAATAACCATAAAAGTCTTTATTGCTTTTCTGGTTTTGTTATGTAGTTCTGGCTGGCCTAGAACTCACTATGTATGGAGACCAGGTAGGATTCCAACGTGTGGCAATCCTCCTGTCTGTATATCCTGAGTGCTAGGATTATAGGCATGTCCCACCATGCCTGGAAACTTCTTTTTTTCTCCTTTACTAGTTTAATTTTTTTTCTCTTTTTTTAAAATTAGCATCTAATGCAATAGAAATGTAGAGACAGAAGAATCAATAGAAAAGTTAGATGGGTCAGTTTGGACATGACAACCCCTTGAAGCCTCAGTTTAAAAATTACCTGCTGACCCAAGTATTTGAGCCCATCCAAGCAGACTTTCCACTCTATCAAGAGCTGATAGGTGTCATCCTTTCCACCCCATATCTTCACCACAAAACAAGACATGGATGTATCCAGACGGACCGGCATTATTCCAAAATCAAGACTCCGCCATGTTGGATTCTGTTGATGGAGATAAAAACATACTTTAGAAAGCTTCTAACTTGCTTACAAGAATTGATTAGATGGTACATCATTTTGTTTTAAAAAACAAAAAGATCTGGGGCTAACGAGATGGCTCAGTGGGTGAGGGTACTTGCCACCAATCCTGACAAGCTGACTTCAATCCCCAGGACCCACATGGTAGAAGGAGAGAACCAACTCCTATTAAGTAGGTCTCTGACATCCAAAAACATACCTGTCCCCCTAGCAACCCCTCTCCCATAAAATAAATCAATAACATTTTAAAGGCCCTGTAAACAGATTAAACTGCAATCTTAAATGAACCAAAAAGATCCTCAAATTAATAGAAAAAGGGTGGCAATGATACTACTGAATGCATCTGCTTTTAGGAGCATATATACCCATTTTACTATTCAATACAATACATGATTATTAAAAGCAAACATATAGAGACCCACATCTGGTCACAGCTGTATCTCACACACACACACACACACACACACACAAACACACATGCACACACACACACACACACACACACACACAAGGCTCAAGGATCATCTCAAAAGAGGGAAAGGAAAAACTGTTAAGTGCCAGAGGTAGTGGGCATCTGCAGTAAAACAGTAACGACAACACTGCTGCACACATGAACTCAATGGCTGGACTGCTGGCACAAGACCAAGCCAGCTAAATCCCAGCATGGGAGGGGCTACTGGCAACTGATGGCTGGTGGGGGAGGGAGAGTCTGTTTCCTTCAGGAATGCGGTCCCCTGAGAGGCCATGCTCCAGAGGATGGTCCTACACCATACACATATGGGCAGCATTAAGTGGAAGGGAAAGAGGGAAAGAGGGGTAGGGGGAGGGGAAGGGAAGGAAAGGAAGAAAAAAGACAAGAAGGAGAGGGAGGGAGAGGAGGATGTGGAGGAGGGAGGAGGACAGGAGGGAGTGAGAGAGGGAGGACAGAAAGCTGGTAAGGAGATAGGGAGGATGATTGGAGGGGTGGAAATGAGGGGTTGATTTGATCAAAATGCATCATATGCATGCATGAAGTTCTCAGAACTAAAAAGGGAGGAAAGCCAGCAAATAAATGCCTCCAAGATTCTCCAACTTAAATCTCAATTTAAAATAATTATATCACTGGGGATGTAGCTCAATGGCAGAGTGCTTCCCTAGCAAGCACAAGGCCATGGGTTCAAACCCCACTGCCACGTAAACAAAAATAATAATATTATTTCACGAGAAGTTTGGTAACAGTTATGCAAAAGGTTACAGCAGCACAGAAGCAATAGACTCTGCAGAAGCAGAGTAAACAGAGAGGCTGCAGATGAGGCGGTGGACAAGGCTGCGTATGAGGCTGTGCATGAGGCTGTGGACAAGGTTGTGGATGAGGCTGTGCATGAGGCTGTGGACATGTGGCTGAAAGTGCAAGTATAACTTCAGATTAAAAAAGTAATTCTAGGCAAAGAGAATAGCACACAGCAAGGCTCAGAGGTGTGAAACAGCAAAGTGTGAGCAGGGAACTAAGAACTTCCCGGCAGCAGGCCCCAGCTGGCTGGGGGCGGGCTGAAGGCTCTTGTAGCCTGGGCTGCTAGATGAGGTGTTCTTTGTCCTCTCATGCTTATCTGACTTCCTCTGGCACCTTTCAGTAGTGTTAGCTATTACTCTGTTTAAGCTTCATAAGTCTTATGAGGTGATACTGCTTCAGATTTTATAACTAAAGAGTCTGAGACAAGATGGATGTGGAGTTCAGCAGTGTAGTCTAATTATAGCCCTTTCTACAACAATGCCTCTTGGCTCTTCATTAACAGAGAAAGGCTAAAGCTGATGGATTCTTTCTTTCTGCCATTTGAGAGTCTGTGGTCAGTCTGGCTGATGGCTGCTCACTGTAATTCCTCGCATTTCTAGTGATCACTGGGCTGTCTGCAGAGCTTAATGGTCAGCCACTGAGTGACTGGTCAGACTGTCCAAATACCTCAAGCCAGTAACCTCTGCAATGTGTTAGTGATACACAAATAAGACACAATTAAGGGACTGAACATGATAGCAAAGGCTATTACTACAAGACTAAAGCATACATCACAGACTAGCCAGGAAGAAACTGGTCTTCGCTGGTTCACTCATTCCATCTAGGACTAGAGAGCCTTGGAACACTTCTGGGCCAACACTCTTAATTCTGGAGCTGGAGGCTGAGCTCCCCTCTATCTGGATCTCCATCATCCCCATCTCACAGCAGCAACTGGTTGTGTGCCATTTACTGAGCACTGTACTTGGTTTAATGTGAATAACACAAGTGAGGAAGGCACATAAAAACAGAGAGACACCATAAGGACAGCTCCTAACATATATACTCTAGAAATGTTAGAATGGAAAAGGGGCCAGGTCCATTCAACCTGTCATTCAGTGAGCCAACTCTGCCCCCAGCTGTTCTCGTCCGGGCTACCGTTCCTCTGACCACTAGATCTCAGTTGGCTCATTTCTTCCTCAGCACCTTCCCTGTTCTCTCCTTAACTGCCAGCTCAACTGCCAGACCCTTTGGAAGGCTGGGTCATTTCTGCAACTGTTTCCCCAATGTCCACACCCTGGAGACATAGCAAGTAGTCAAAGATTTTGTTGCTGAGCAAACAAAGACAAAACTACATTCTATTCCAGGTCCGCCACTAAAAGAAGACCTGATCGGTCTGAGGTCAAAAACATTAAAATTGAAGCTAAGACCAGACAGCAAAGCATAAGATTCCTTTGGAAAAAGTGATTCAGTTTCTCATCTAATATGAATCATGTTTCATAAACAGAGAATAAAAAGTACCTTACTCACTTTTACTACTGGTATAATTATTACAAGAAAAGAGCAGTCGAGCCAGGCGTGGTAGCACATGCCTTTAGTTCCAGCACTTGGGAGGCAGAGGCAGGAGGATCTCTGTGTTCAAAGCCAACCTGGTCCACATAGTGAGTTCCAGGGCAGCTGGAACTACAGGGAGACCATTTCAAAAGACCAAAAAAAAAAAAAAGAGCACTGTGAATGACATACTCCAATGTCCTTGGAGATAACTGCTTTCTCTCGTGCTCCCACAGTGACCCAAGTGTGGTAAACTTTCTTAAGGTTCCTGCCACAATACATCACCAAGATTTTCTTGTCTGTCCCCCTCCTCAAAGGAGGTTCCTACCAGTGCATTAACATCTACAGTACCTGGAGTCCTGCTACTAAACACCTGGTGTGTCAGGTACCATACTACCAATATGAGTACCTAATTTTTCAGAGACGCTGGTAATAGGAAACATTAAGTTGCTTGCCTATCTATGGCTGGTTATATCTGTAGCTGGGAGTCAAAGTTTATAACTGACTCCAGACATAAAAGCATTAGATAACTTTTTTTTTTGTAATAGTTTCATATGGCCTAGACCAGCCTTAAACTCACTATGTAGCCAAAGATGACTTTGAACTTCTGATCCTCCTGCCTCTAACTCACAAGAGTCCTAGGATTACAGGCATTGAGCAGGATGCCCAGTATTATGCAGTGCTAGGGATCAAACCCAGGGCCTCCAGCATACTAGGCAAATGGTCTACAACTGGGCTACATCTCCAGCTCTAAATAGTTTTTCTATGGAAAACAGGCCACATTGCTGGAGACGATTTATGGTAAGAGCTAACGAGCTATTGGGCTTTATAGCAAAGTCAATGAGTTAAGAGTTCAGTATAATAAAGTTCCTCACAAAAATCTTGAACCCTTGAGAAAAAAGCTAAATAATTTCTCCTTATGAAAGAAAAGGAGAGGAAGGAGGGAGAGCTCAGGGGCTAAGAGTGCTTGCTTCACAACCATGAGGCACAGAGTTCAGAGCTAAGCATCCATATAACAAGCACGGCATCCCATGAATGCCTGTAACTCCAGCTCTGAGGAATCCAATGCACTCTTCTGTCCTCCATGCATGTATAGGTGCACACACCCAGGCACATACTCATGAAGACACATGTGCATACAGAAGATAACAGACAGATAGAAAGACACACACACACACACACACACACACACACACACAAGAGAGAGAGAGAGGGGACAAATCTTTAAAACGGGGGGAAGAGAAAGGAGCAAAGGTGATATGTACATGAAAATTCACATGATGATGTTTCATTTAACTGGAATTCAACAAGCCAGTAATTCCATATATATCTGAATAATCAAGAATGGAAAGTGTGGGCTGGAGAGATGGCTCAGCAATTAAGAGTACTGAGTACTGGCTGCTCTTTCCAAAGCCCGGGTTCAATTCCCAGCAACTACATGGCACCTAACAACCATCTTTAACTCCAGTTCCAGGGGAATTTGATGCCCCAAGGGAATTCAACAGCCTCTGACATGGGTCTACTTACATACATGCAGGCAATAGACTCATACACATAAAATAAAAATAATAAATAAAACATTTATTTTTTAAAAAAAGAATGGAAAGCGTGAGCCAGGCGTGGTAGCACACACCTTTGATCCCTGTACTCAGGAGGTAGAGGCAGGCAGAGATCTCTGTAAGTTCAAGGCCAGCCTGGTCTAAATAGCAAGTTCCACGCCAGCCAGGACTACAGTGAGACCTATCCAGGAAAAAAAAAAAAAAAGAATGAAAAAGGAACTTAATAACTATCAAGTTAAATCAAATATATGTCATAAACTTAAAATCTGAGGCCAAGCATGAAGACACAGGCCCGTAATCCAGCACTCAGGAGGCAGAATCAAGAGAACTATGAGTTTGAGATCCTGTTTCTAATTAATTAATTAGGTGATGAATTAATTAAAAGACTCAAATTCTGGTCCTAGGTCTATTTTTAACTTGGCATTAACTGTCATGTTTCTCCAGAACAGACACTTCATTAAGATGAGATTAACAAAATGGCCAGTAGATACTTGTAAAGCTGTTCAACTAGAGGAGTCTGAGGACACAGTCAGTGACCACTCCACCAGCATGAGTACAACTTAAAAGATACATTTGAGCAAGGCTATGGGGCAACCGAAAACCTCAAG